CCCATATCACAAACACACCCACACCCACTTCTCTCTCTCTCTCTCTCACACAGACACAGACACACACACAAAGAGTAACCCATGATTACTCATCTATCTACCTGGTGAAAAATCAGAAAAGGGCATTAACTAAAACAATGAGAAAGTGGAAGTTGAAAAAAAAAAAGCTATACATTATCTTCCCCTCCACCCCTATTTTGCATCCTTGTATAAAAATAAATGTAAAAATTCCAAAATCTACCTCATCACTCTTTTCAGGGGAGGAGGAGGGAAGGGTGAAATGGGAATTGAAGAAACTAACGAAAGTAAAATAAAAATGTTTTCTCTAAAGAGTAATGGGAGATAAGATAAGTAGAGATGGAAACAGAAATGGATACTAAAAATAAAGAAGAAAAAAAACCACCTTCTAGGTATTTCCAAGAGATTGGACTAGATGTAGTTCATAGAAAGGGGCTTATCTGGTATTTTTTTTAAGAATGTGAATTTGGGTTCATCATAATTTCATTAATTTTCTTAGACCAGAAGTATCAGATTATTTCTCTGACAGTCTGTTTATTTAACACTTTCCACACACTCTGTATCACACTAAACTATGTTTTTAATCGCACATAACACATGCCACCCGTCTCAGTAACTATGTATAAGTTTTTCCTCATGCCTGGAATGCACTCCCCACTCAACTCTCCTAGGAACTCTAATTTCCTTCAAATCTTAATTCACATGCTACTTCCCAAGGGAAGTCTATCTTGACTTGGCCAGTGCCCTTTCCTCCAAAAATTACTTTGTATCTACTTTGAATATAGATTTTGTTTTTACTTCTCTGTGATTCAGTCTGAGGGCAACGGAAATGTTAAGTGACTCCATCTCTTGTACCACTTTGCCATTTTTTCCAAGCAGCAGTGACAAATTGGAAATATTATTAAGTACATCATTAAATAAAGTCTAACTTTTTCTAAAACATTTGATTACTTTACATACACACAATGAATATTCAAAGCTATATTACACACATTGTATATAGGTCTTATCTTGAAATAGATTGTAAGATTATGGAAGACTGGAAGCAGGTTTTATAGACTTTTAGCATAGTGCTGACATATAATGTGCCTGAAATATATTTATGAATAAATATAAAGCTCACAATTACAAACCATAATCTTATATTACCTTCTTCCTCTCTCAAGGGTTGTTTTATTAATGTATCTAGAGCCCTGCTATAGTCTTCCAAGATCCAATATGCCATACTCCGAAGGAAAGGATCATCATGTACATTCGTGTTCACTGAATGGTGTTCTTTGACTGAAGAATCGATTCCCAGAACTTTTTTATGCAGTATAGATTTGTATGTTGCAGATGTGTCAAATTCAGATTCATAAAGTCTTGCTATTACCAAAGCCAACTGAACATCATTCAATTTTTCCAGACAAACCTAGAAATAAATCCATGTTTTATTACTTTTAACCCTAAAGAACAATTCTCTCATGTCTAAAAGTATACTCGGTATTAAGCTTCTAGAAACTAGTAAGAAAAAAGATTTGAAAAATTAAGGATAATACTAAATACTACTTGCCAATGTCATAGATTTGTAACCAATAAAACTAACCAACCTAGGGAAATCTGGAATTTCAGTTCTTGATACTATATTCTAGTAAGAACACTGATAAACCAGTCAATATTCAGAAGGAGGGCAAGCAGGATGGGTGAAGGGATTTAAGTTCTGGACATACATAGGGGTCAGAAGAAGGAAAGTGGGATGTTTAACCTATAGAAGAGATGTCCTAGGGAAAAAATGAACTAGGCTGCTTGTTTTTTTGGTCTAAAAGGACAAGTCAAGGCCAATGGGCAAATTTATGTTTAAGGTAAGAAAAAAATTTCCTAAAAATCAGAGCTGTCTAAACACAGAATGGGTGATCTTGGAAGCTAGAGGACTTTTCCCTCTCTGGAGCTCCTCAAGAAAAAACTAGTTGACCATTTGTTGGGTAAATTTTAAAAGGGATTCCAATTTGGCTGTGACTTGTACTAGGATGGCTTCTGAGGTCATGTGTTTCCTTAAAATAGATTTAGAGCACTATATTTATAGGCATGAATTTAAGTTACAAATTTTGCTTCACTCTATAAAATGAAGGCCTTTCCAAATAAGCAATGAGTGTTTCTGGACTGTGTAAGTTTATTAATGATGACAGACTTGAATGCAGAATTCACTTATAATTCATATGAACCTCCCTGCAAAAAGTCATGAATGGTGGATTACAACATCTTTTTATCCTTTATTTAGCTTGTCCCCAAAAAATGCTGAAGAAAAAAAAGTTAAGAAACATGAGAAGTGACCTAGTAAATTAGACATTACTGATCAAAACATACTGACAGAAAAATGGGGGGCAGCTAGGTGGCGCAGTGGATAGAGCCCTGGAGTCAGGAGGACCTGAGTTCAAATCTATCCTCAGACACATAATACTTCCTAGCTGTGTGACCCTGGGCAAGTCACTTAACACTAACTGCCTCACTAAAAAAAAAAAAGAAAGAAAGAAAGAAAAATATACAGATAAATTAGTTAAAAGCCTGAAATAAATACCTGCCTCCATTCAAACTAATTTTTGCTCTTCATAGACAGGCAAAAATAATCTGCCTTGTTGTATTTTTGTTTAAACAACTTCAAGGCTCTGCTGCATATTCTTAAGGAAATTAGTGCTATTTTTCTTCAGTCTCTATGATCTTAGAACAGTTCTACTGAAATTGTTCTCTTCAAAGTCATCAGTGACTTAAGAGAAATGTTTTTTTTCCCTCAATCCTCATATCCTCTTTGACTTCTCATCAGTAGTGAAATTACTGATCACTATCTCTCCCTACATATTCTCTTCTCTTCTTGCTTTGGCTTCTGAGGCTAAAAAATGCTTTCCCTAGCTCTCCTCTTGAGTCCCTAGGCAAGAATTTATAAACTAGAGCCATTGCACTGAGCCCATTGTTTTTGTACCAAGTGAACTAGAATTTTACATTTTAAAATAAAGTTTTGCTCTATTAAAAATATGAAAACCATTCTTAGTTGCTGGCTAAACAGGCCCCACTGGATAATTTGAGGATCCCTACTCTAAAGGATCCTTCTCTTGGATTCTTCTTGGCTTTTCTTCCCCTTCCCCAAATTTCTATCCTCAGATCTTTTCTTGTCTCTTCCAGTTCTTTCAGTAATACCACATACTCCCTTAGTTTCAATATTAATTCACTGCAAATGACTTCCAGTTTACTAATAATGACCTGAATTCTTCCCTAGTTCCAGACCCCTTTCTATAATTAGCTAAAGTAATTTCTACCTAGTACTGCAAATTCAACACTACATCATCTTTTCCCTAACCTGATTCTTTCTTCCTTCTGACTTTACAATTTTGCTGAGCAATACCAAAGCTTACCAAGTAACCTACATTTGAAATACTTTACCATTTATACCCAGTTCTAAAATCCCATGCATTCTGCTTCTAGAATATCTCATATCTATAGTGGTTTGTTGCATCCATAATCCTCTCCTCTATTATTACTGCTACCACCACCATAGTATATACCCAGCTACTGCCTCCAAATAGGTCTTCTTGCCTTCATTTTCTTCCCCCATCCAAATCCAGACTTCACATTAATGCCAGGTTAATCTTTCTTATAACATCATCTAGTAATGTCACTCTTAACCAAAAAAAAAAAAAGAAAATGTTCAGTGTCTAATACTACATAAAGATCAAACTTGGAATTCAAAGTCTTCCACAATCCTGTGAAACCTTATTTGTAGCCATATATTATGTAACACCAGCATGGGAAGTATACAGAGAGCTAATAGTGTAACAGAGGTAGCTCTGACACATGCTGGCTGTGTGACCCTGGGTAAGTGATTTAACCATTTTTTAATTTTTTATTATAATTTATTCTATTTAACAATCTAGGAAGTTCACAGCCATCAGCAATTCCAGTGCAATTTCAGGTGTAACTGGGAATTCAGGAATCTCTGTAGAGCTGTTAGTGTTGCAAACCTTGTAGGTAAAAAAACATGCATACTTTTGATAGCACATGTGATGGAATTTCTCTAAAATTAACCTCATTGGTTTCATTCTCAGCAAACTGACCTGAGTCACTTAACATGGCTTTTATTGTTCCTGATGTTAAAACATGCTCCCTTTTTACAATAAATTCATAACCATCGGAAGATACCAATTTCACATACATAGCATCTAGGTCCTCATACCCGTTCTATGTTTTTTCTTCTCCATCCATTATCTCCTTATGAAATTATATTTTGTTTCCACAGGAATTTTAACAAGACACCTTCCTGACAGATGACCATCCAATAAGAAGCACATTCCACCTTGATTAGAATCTTGGTTCTACTGAGAATCTGGGTGATTCTAGGCAAGTCACTTAACTTGAGTTTCAGTTCTCATTTTTTGAGTTAGTCATACATTTCAATGGACCTTTGATGGAGGAGGAGGGATGGTACTACTTTTCATTCCAGTCAAATGCCTTTATCCAGCACTAACGAGCTGAGTGACCATGGGCAAGACTCTCTGCGCTTTCCTGATTTTAGCCTACTTGCAACTCTCCACTGTCTTGAGGTCCTTCAGAATCTATAGTGTTCCAGCACTGCTACAGCAGGACAGTCTGTTACTGACGGTATTTAAGAGCCCACTAGACTGAGGTTACTGATGATGAAATTCTCAAAGTACTAGTCATACAGTGAATACCAAAATTCCAGGGACATGGCACCAAGGGAGCCTGGTTTCTGTCCAGACACCCCTGGGAAAGCCAGACAGGGTCAGACCCAGCAATGACAGGAGAAAAGAAGACTCGCCCCCCCCCCCCCCAACCTCCACCCACGAAGGTGGCAGGCATCCAGCCTGGCCACTGGGGCCGCTATGGCCCCTGCAAGCCCTGCAAGGGGATGCACAGAAAGACCCCGCCATCCTCTCCTCCCCGTGCCCTGCTACAGCCCATGATTTAACTTCTTAATGCTCTCTTAGTGGTCTAAATTTCAGAGGACTTAAATTGACAGAAGCAATTTATTCATCTGGGAGTTGCTTTTTCTCCATGAAATCACCAGTCCTATGTGTCATAGTAGTATATCTATACTTCAGCCAGTACATACTACTTTGGCATTTTCTGCACACATTCTCTACTTTCCTGGCTCCATAACTTTGTTAGCACTATTGTTTTTGTCTGTAATGCCCTATATTCTACATTCCTCCTATATAATCTTTCTTCACATACCTATTGAATTCCTGTCTATATTCTGAAGCCCATTTCAAATGCCACCTCCCACACCAAGCCTTCCTAATTTTTTCCCAGAAATGGTATAGTGCTATTTTTGTAGCTTTCTGATACATATTTTATTTAACATTATAGTGATATGTATAATGAACCTATTCAATTAATTCAACAAACATTTAAGCACCCACTATATTCAATACATTATGCTCTACTGCCTCCATGAGATCCGTGACTGTGTCTCAACTAATCTTTTTGCTGCTCTCCACTCTTGGTACAGTTCCTAGTAGATGCTTAAACATGTAGAGAGGTTTTTACTTCTCTATAGAAATTTTTAATTGCAATACTCTAGGTCAAAACATTGGGCATAACATATAACTTGAAACAAAATGAAATTATAAATTGAAGTAGCATCACAAATAAAATGTTTTAAAAGCTATTCCTATCACAAATTGTTTTATGTTTGTTTATATACAGAAATACATTCAAATATATACATTTCACTAATTACCTCAACTGCATCTTTCAGGCAATCAGCCAGAAGAAAAAATGCTGCAGAATGTTCAAATCTTTGTTTGCCTAGCAAAGAAAAGGCGTTCTTTAATGCTGCCTTACGCCACCTGTCATCTGCAAAATTATGTCCAAAAAACTGTGTCATCTTGGTATCTTTTTGAGATCTAAAGAAAAAAAATTAAGAAAATCTGAGAATCAAACTTTTCTGGGGAATTAATTCCAGCCTACGAAATAGTTCCAAAGTAATAAGTAGCCAACAACAATTTCCTGCCATCCAACACAATGACATATAGTCTTTAAACAAGAAATCAAAGTATTATTAATAGTGCCTCCTCACCAAAGTCTAACAAATGATTTTTAAAAGCTCATTACTACAACTGCCTTAAAATCTAAAAAAGTTTCCCATGGAAATATTCTGTCTTCTCCATTATCTTCACAATTTGTACTTTAAAAGACATCTTTTTCCTGCTATGTAAACACTGTTACTGATGACATAGTGAAGATCAATTTAGTTTAAGTACCTTGGGCAATAAAGGCCTAGAGAGTAAGATCTTCTCCAAAGCAGCTTTGAGAAATTTAGTGACTAAATTGGTTCTAAGGTTGCCCCAATGGAGTCCTAACTGTCCATCCATTCGATTGTCCAGAATTTACTTCAACTCCTAGTGCTCTGGGGATAGATTAAATCTTGTATTTTTTCTAGTGAACGAAAAGTAAATTAAAATATAGGGATAGAGCATCATTCATGTCCCAGCATTAGCCTTGACATTTTTTGCTTATTAGCTATTTCAGAGTATTCTTAAGAAGTCAAGTAGAAAAATGACTCCTTAAGAAATCTCTCCTAAATTAACCCAATGAATGACACTCCTAAAAACAAATATAAATTCACCTGCTCTTTATAAATTTATGAAAAATAGCAGCCACATTACTGTGTTATTAAAGTTTTATCAATATGGCTATTGAAAACAAATGTCAATTTTCAAATGAAAGGAAAAAAGTCAGTAGATATTTTTTCTAAACATAGCCATAAAATTGCACCAAAAGGAAAAAAAACACAATTCTTTACCCAGCATATTTTAGTGTTTATTAAATGCTTCTAATTTAAAAACATAACTCTCTGCCATACCTGTATAACCCCCATATCACAGCCTTCTTCTTCATTGCAAGGTAAAAAATGGCAGCATCTAATGGATCATTTTTTCTATAAAAAGCTGCTTTAGCGACCTGTAATCAGAAACCACAGTTTAATACTTGCTTATGTTTCATATGTACACTTAGAAAAATATAATTTCTACAGTAAGAAAATATGTCCTAACACTATCCATTTGTAGATGTACAATATTAGTGTGCATTAGCTATGTATTTATAGTTCAGTTTGTTTAAAAGATAGGATAAGTTAGACAGGATAAGATGGAATAGGATAGGATAGGAAAAGATAAGACAAGATAGGATTTTCCTATCTCAAATTTTTATCCCTATTCTAATTACATATCAGTGATTATTTTAAGACTGATATTAGAGAAAACAGAAAATTTTATTTCTATATATCAAAAAATCAAAGAGCACCATAAGTTAGAAAATGTGAAAATCATGCCTAATAGTATTCATTTAATATTTACTAAATTGAACTGGATCTTCTGGAGTAGAGAAAGGAAAGAGGAACCAGAAAGGGGCAAACAATGGGTGGCTGGAGCAGCAATTGTTTTATAAAAGCTGGATTGGTCCTTAAAGGCTAAAGAGTTCTTAAGCTTCCTTGCAGCCAAGGCATGAAAGGCTTAACATCCCTAAAGGAACAGGCATCAGAGATTGTAATGGAATTCCCATGGTCCTAAGGGTATGGAGATACCTTTCTACTGTTACTTGCCACAATGAACCCAGAGGAAGTTGTATTTTATTTTAATTTAATCAGAAATTACTTAATTCCCTTTACTTCATTTTCTGGTCCATTGGTGCCTCATTGTGTCTTAATCTCAAGTTTAATCATCATACTGATTCAAGTTAGGCCTGACCCAGAATATTAAAGTATCTATGCTTTCAAAAAACTTTTGACAAAGGTTTTATAGCAAAATATATTTTTAAATTATTGAATTAATATAAAGATAAAAAGAAAAAAGAACAAGGATGTATGTTGCTTCTATGAATGAAAAAGGACAGTATTCATATTGTGGTTCCCCTGCAACCTAATACACTTGAAGAAAAAGAATCTATTCTTTTAATAGGATAAGGCTCTAGGATACTATATGTTATTTCTTGATCCCATTTGGCACCCTGATCCTGCATTCTTTTAATCTTTGCAAATTCAGCCCTAACTCACAACTCTGGAGTTAATGGGTCCTGTCAGTAATCAGCAGAAAATCCTCATACATTATTCCTTCCCACTTCTGATTTGCTGCCCTGGTTATTTGCCCCAACTCTCATTCTCTAACCCAGTCACAGTTCCTCTAGGACTGAGGCTGGAGCTTTCTTCCTTGTCATTCCTTCCTATCATTACAAACCTAAATATCTGACTGTGAAATGCAATACCTATTGTAAGGTCTTTCTGCACTTAGAATAGTTAACTACACTTTTCCATGACTCCTAAGTTTTTTTTTATCATCTCAGGATTATGAGTTTACATTAAAGTTCTACTTCAACAAAGATAAGGGGGTATACTGGGGCTGTAGATGTCTATGATAACATAATATAAGCTCTGGCAGATCCTACAAAGCTGGAAATGCTTCAGGTATAGGCCTAGTGATAAATTTCATGCCTCTTCTCTGAGGACCAAGACTAGCATTACCTCAGAGAGGTGAGGAATTTTTTTTGTCTTAACAACTTCACAAGTTGTAGAGGGTTTATAATTAGTGGTAGTAAAAGAAGTTCTCCATACTGATGAAATCACAACTCCCTGGAGTGGTTAAAAAGAATGAGTTCCAGTTAAGATTTCCTCTCTTAAACTATTTAAGACTGTACCCCAAATCCCAACCAGGTCCTTTACAAAAGATGGTCACTGACTCAAGAGGACAGGGAGAGTATAGGTAATCAACATAAAGCTATGGCCAGCATGTGAAAAGTAAGTCAAAGCTTATATTCTGTTGACAAAAAGATTAATATTTATTAGCATTTATTCATTTAGCATAAGTTTTAACATAAACTCAAATTAGCTCTGTTAGTGGTGAATCATAGCATTTTTTTAAAGTGCAGATGACTAAAAAGTACTTGTTAGTGTAATAGTTCATTTTTACATTTTTTTATAAAATAAAAAAAATAAAAAATTATTTACCTTTTCTATGCACTTGCGTAAGACTCGCGTGTTTCGAACCCACCACCCTATACCCATAGCTCTTAGTTCTGACCAGGTGGGATCATCTTTCTGCATGGCAGGCAGCATATTCAGTAGCTCTTCTTCTGCTACAGAATGAAATGCCCATGCAAAATGACTAGTAGAGAGACCTGACAACAGGAAAACAAATGGAATGTTGTAATTCTCAGTGTTAAAAACAAAGCCTCCATCTCACAATGATTTATTGAAGGGAGGAGGGAAAACAGGGAGGACCTCGGGAAGGATCTATGATTTCATTGACACTAAGAAACTCTCATTTTGAAAACTCCCTTCATTAATGCAGACTGGCACTGGTACCTCTGAGATACTACTAGGTTAAGTGACTTTTCTATGTGGTCGTGCAGATAGTACTATCATAAGGAAGACTTGAACTAAGGTCATCCCACCTTCAAAGTTGGCCCTTTATCTATAAAAGTTCCTATTAACTAGAAACAAATCCTGAAGAAACTGTATTTCATAAAATTACTCCACACTTGAGGTGTGTCCAAATAATCATGTCATCATTACTGTAAAAAGGTAAGGTAAGTTTCTTATTTAAATATATACTTACGTCCATTTAAGTAACCTTCTACAAAATTACCTTGGTGAAGGAGTTGAGCTCGATAGACAGGTGGAAGGGAAGTTGTGAGAAAAGTATGAAGGCGAACAGCCAAAAGAAATTTTAAGCCACATTCATCAAGAGTTTCTCCACCTATGAACAAAAAATACACTCTTTACTCATTTTCATTGGAATAAAGCTAGAAAACAATTCCACTCAGTATGCAACCAGCATAGATAACAGTACATAACTTGACATGATGAGCGTAACCAATAAGACACTATGCATATAAGAAGAAGAAATTGAAACACATTGTTAAATTGAAGAAATAAAAGTGTTGTGTATGAAATAAAGTAAAAATGAAGAGATTTCTCATTATGGAAAATAAGATGCTGTTACACAGGCAATTTATTTAATTAATTCGCATGCTTGATCTTTTTTTGTAAATAAGGAAAATCGTTAGGCCTTTCTTCAAGGTATATAGTATTTAATGTAATTCATAATCATATACATTTGAGAGGCATCCTGGCATACTTATTGAGCCTTGGACTTGAAGTCAGGGGACATGATCATGGGCCAATAATAAATATCTCTGAGCTTCAGGTTTATCATTTAAGAGGATAATAATGCCTCCACTATCTCTTAGGGTTGTTTTAACAAAAGTGCTTCACAAACTTTAAAATTTTACATCATCTTTAGTGTTAACAAAACACTTTCTTTACAATTACCCTAAAGTGGAAGGAAATTGAGGCTTGAAGAAATGAAATTACTTTCTCACTATCAAATAATTAGTAAATTTCGGAGTTGCAACTCAATTTTATCTCTAATGAATTGAGTTGAGGGAGCTAAAGCTTATCATATAAGTTAAATAATTGTATAAACATAAAAAGATTGTTTAGGCATTTTCATAATCCTCTATGAGTAGTATTAGATAAGAAAACTAAGTTACCAAAACATTAAGTAACTTGGCCAGGATCAAATAGCAAATAATGTGCTAGAACTCAGATTTAAGTCAGACTTTGTGACTAGAGTGCTCTCCCTGTTACGCCACTACAACCTCTTCACTGAGGAGAAAATGAGAACAAAGAGCTAAAAATTAATATATTTACATCAATTACTTTTACTCTAAGACAGTGTTTTACCATACTTTTCTACTATAAGAACAAAGATTCTGGAAGGAAATATTCATGGCAGTGATACTATTTCCTCTACAATATTAAATAAGAAATTATTTACATAGCACTTTTATGTATGGCCAGGGTTTTCTTCTCCTCCCTTCCTTAACCACCTCATCCCCAAGACAAAAACTGGTACAATGGAAAGACCACTGACTCTACAGTCAGATGATATAGGTTTAAATCTCTGCCACCTATGTGACTTTGGGCAATGCTTCTCTATATATCTCACCTTTCTTATCTATAAAATTAGAGATATGCTGTTTGGCCTATAAGCTCCCTTCCAGCACTGAACATAATGCCAACTATAATTGCTTCTATTTTGCTCAAAAAATTCCCTGGGCTCCTTTTTATCTGGGAGTGGGGGTAAAGTTCAGGACACCAAATCATTTGGATGATAATGAGTTTTTCAAAATATTTCAAATCTCAAAATGCTTTCCATAACAAAATACGTTGGGAAAAACTACTCAGAAATGGTCAACATCTTTCAAATTTTAAGCTGTTGTAAAATTTTAAATAAAAAAATTAATAATAAAGTATATAATAATGATAATAGCTAGCATGTACATAGTGTGTTAAGATTTGCAAAGCTCTTTACAAATATCATTTCATTTTATCTTCACAACAAACCTGTGAATTGTTGAGGTATTATCCCTATTTTACAGAAAAGGAACCTAAGAGGTTATGTGACTTGACCAGTCACTTAACTAGTTGTCACAGAACTATTAAGTTTCTGAGGTCACATTTGAACTCAAGCCTTCCTGACTCAATGTCCAGTGCTCTACCCACTGTGCCACCTCCTTAAACATAAAACACAACTCATTTTTACCTTGGTTTCTGTCTCTGCTTTCACCAATATCAGTACTTGTAGTCGCAATAGTATCTGCTAAGGCCATCAAAGACATCTGTTCCATCCGGTTGAGACCTGGTAAGCTAGAATGAAGTAAATGTCCCGAAAGAACTTGGGCATGTTCAGGACCAAAGTAAGTTGGACTGTACTGAGAAAGATCAATAACCTTGGGCTTTGTATTTTCTTCTTCTGTCTCAAAGATATGAACATCATCAGTAGTTAGTGCCGATATCTGAAAAAGCTCATTGTAACTTTCATCACGTAATTGATTTGTTTTGTTTAAGTGACTACAATTACTGGATTTCTCTGATGAAGAATAAGGGCTATCATCATCTGCAGCAAGTAAGGCATATAAAGGGAGAGGGGGCACTGAATCTATTTCTGTGTAGTCTGTATTTTCAGTTTTATTGAATGTTGGAGGTTCTCTTGTGGTACTCCCACTTGCACTAATAGTGAGAGATCTAAATCGGCGTTCATGATTAGATACTGCGTCATTCAAAGCCACAACTTCTCCTGCAATGCATTTAACAAGATGGGATAAAATGGCCTTAGCTCTCCGCACTTTACCAAGATCCATGAGTTCTAAAAGCTGCAAGGGATGATACTGAGGTAAAGTTGGCGAGAGTGCATGAGCTGCTTCAAAAAGACCTGAATCTTCCATGTCCATATCAAGATCAAATGCAGTTTTTTTTCCACAAATTTTCTGCGCAAGACTAGTCATGGAGCGAGTTAATGTTTTCTTTGGTGGGTGTAAACCAGACCCTGATGAATTACTCGGTTTCATTAAACTTACGATAGATGGAGTGCTTCCACCATATGAACCTGTGATCACAGGCTCTTGTTTGGAAGGTGGATGCCACTGGGAATAAACATGCATCTCGCAGTCCATTCCTACCACAAGGATACCATCACGTACCCAAGATAAAGAAACAGGAAACGGTGGAGATCCTTCTACTGAAGAAACCAAATCGACACACCGAAGCAGAACAAATTTAGACTGAGACAAAACTTTAGTGTTCTCCCATAGTGGGAATGCCAAGCCTTCTTTACCAGTTTGTTCCTGAACGTTGCCAGCCAGTTGTCCATACATAAAGAGCTTTGATCCGATTCCTACAGTAAGTATATGAGAACCATCTTCTCTAGACATCCAGTCTAAGTGAACTAAATGCTTTGTATATGGCATGATGTTCTCTTTACTGGATAAATAAACCTCTTGTTTATTGTAGGCCACTAAATTGCTATCAATACTAATACCAGAGTCCAACATTGCACTTAATTCCTCTAAATGAATTGTTTGTTCAAGGATCCAAAATGAACCTCCTGTAGATTCACATTCAAAAATACTTACATGCATCATAAAGTCTTGAGAAGATCTACCATTAGATGCAGTCTGCTTGTAGGCTACAGCTAAACGATTTGTGTGCGCACAGCTAACTTCTACTGGCCTTCCAGGAATAGTTACAACACTGCTACTAGGGAGTCCATCCTCAATAAGTAAAGGCCATTCTTCCCAAATATACTCAAGATTACTTTTTGCAGTGTTCTCTGAAGTGGCAGTCTCTACAGCTGTTACCCTGCATCTCCAGAATCTCACTTTTTCATCTGAACATGAAGTTGCCAATAAATAGGGTGCACTGCATACCGGATATATGGAAGAGGAACTTAGGTGTCCTAAAACAAAAAGAAATCATTACTTAGGCAAAGAACTAATAAATAAATCATCCTATTTAGTTAAGTAGATTTTTATAAATATATTTAGTGTTTGGTCCTTTCAGAAGAGTATCATTAAAACATTAAGTAGCATATCTAGATATTGGTGCTTATTTAAAAATCAAATATTTTAATATTAATTGTAAAAATATATAAAAATATATTTTGGATGTCAAGAATAAAATAAGCTCCAAGTAACACAGGTGTGCAGTTGGTGCAAGGAAAGTACAATAACATTATATGATTCTGGAGACTTTGAAGGATTTTTTAGTATACCTACTCTTTCCTAATCGCCCTGCTTCAAAATAAAACTGATAATATAAAATAAAGAGAAAAGACCATGCTCTCTATTTTGCTCTTTTTAAAAAAAGAAAAAACTACTCCCTAGTATGGAACTTCATTTTTTTTTCTTTTAAGTCAACTCTAGAGCTTTTTAAATAACTCCTAAACTACTGTTTCTGTCCACCATAATCTCTTCTATCAGTAATATTTTAATTAAAGGATAACATATACTTTTCACAGAACAAACAACAACAGACCTTGGAATTGTGTCTTCAGAAAATAAAAAGCTATACCATTCTTTCTCAAATTTTATCAATTTCATTTTCAACAGCCTTACCCTATATTTTTATGTAAAATTTTGGAAAAGATAGAATTTCTAAGCTACTACAAAATCCCACCCTTCTGCCCAACCCCCCCTCTATAAAAAGACACACAAAAAAAAGAGCTTAGAGTAAAAGGTAATAGTACATTTGTTCTCTCCCACACACATACCACTTCAAGGTTAACATAAGCATTTTTTAAAATAGTGAGTAATTTGGAGTTTATGGCTATATGTAATGGGTTTTTAAAAATTTGAACATTTATTCTGGTAGTTACTAAATTGAGTAGGGGGAGTTACAAATAAAAGAAAGATTTCTATGCTTTTGAAAATGCTCAGGGGCAGCTAGGTGGTGCAGTGGATAGAGCACTGGCCCTGAAGTCAGGAGGACCTGAGTTCAAATCCGGCTTCAGACCAAACACTTGACACGTACTAGCTGTGTGACCTTGGGCAAGTCACTTAACCCCAACTGCCCCCAAGAAACAAAAACAAAAACAAAAAAACCGAAAATGCTCCACAGTAACTTCTTTCTCCTGTTTAGTCCAGAAAACAGGAAAGAAGAGGAAACTGAAATGATTACCTTGTAGAGAACTGGTAAGTATTCAATGATACCCAGAAATGACAACTGTCAATGCAAGGCGGCAAGCAGGGGAACAGGCATAACACTTAAGTACAGATATACTCATAAGTGGAAGGAAGAAATAAGTTTTGTTTTGTAGTACATATATGATGGGTTTTTTTTTTTTTAAAGACCTTTTTCTGCAAAGTTTAGGAGCGGATTGCATGGGTCCCTTAGAAACTTTCCCTTAAAAAGTATCCTAAGATTTAGTTTAAAGCAATAGAATATATTTAGCTAGGGTAGTAGCATAAGTTTTAAAAATCTTAGTTTTTCAAATTACAAATTACTTATCTTTATTCTTTCTGTTCTTGCTTCACAATTACTTGAAAAACAATGGGTATATATGAACATCAAAATAACAGAAGAATATTTATATATGTGAAACACTTATGGATTCCAAATTTTTACTACTTTCATTCCTTAAGATTCACAAACCTGCTGATGGCTTAACACTGATTATCTCAACTCCTTCTGGCAAATTCAGTTCTTGGCTATAAACCATTTCTGAAGAAAGAGTCAATTTACTAGTACTTTGAAGATTTGCTCTGCAAGCCTGATATTTCTTTGAAAAAGGAGATTGGATCTTTTCTGGAGAAGAAGATAACTCTTCTTGTTGCAGCACTGTACCAGACACACTTGCATCTATTTTCTCATCTGAAAGATAATGTATAAAAATATGTATAACATAATTCTATAATATTTTAAAACAAAGTTAATACATTTTGTGAGTAAAAAGTGAACTAATTTCACCTAAGCTACTGATATCACATTCTAAACATAACAAGAAAACTCTCAAGAAACTTAATTTGGACAAGAAAATGAATGTTTGAGACCATAAACTGAATGGTATACCCAAAAGTGTGTGTGTGTGTGTGTGTGTGTGTGTGTGTGTGTGTGTGTGTGTG